GAAGGGAGGACCTGGTCGAATTCACAGCATAAACTCTTCCGGTCTCCTTATTTTCAAGGACTTCGAAGGATCCAGTCTAGGTAGACCGCGTCCTTGGAGGACACGTCCTAGGTTTTCGAACAGAGCCGTTAATTTGTTTTGGGACTTGTAAAGGTGTTTCGAATGTTTTTTATTTGTTTTCTTAAAATGCTATTTGTTTTGAATTTTTAAAAGTGTTTTGTTTATTCTTTTTTTTTTTTTTAATGTAAATTTGTTTTCTGAAATTAAAATTTGTTTTGGATCTTTAAAATATTTTTTTATATATACTGTAATGTTGGTTTGCACCTCCCGGCCACCGTAGAAAACGGCTACGTCGTGTACCAACTTCCTGTTTTCAAAAATAAAACTGTAGTCCCAGATTCTGGGCCAAAAACAAGCCTAATATTAGTTTTGATTACCGCCGTATTCTAGCGGCTCGTTTTTCTCGAAAATAATGCTTTGTGATTCTTGTAGTACGTAGTCTGTGCTCTAAGGACATGAAAGAAGTGTCATTTGTGTTTCAACAACGTTTCGTGTGAAAGTTATTTATCCCGGAAGTCCGAATCTGTGAATATCTTTCTAACTTTACCGAAGTAAGTTACTCTTGATTAACTCCAGTAAACTAACTACTGCAGCACGATGACTTGCAGAGTAAAAACGTTCCACGATTACCTGGATAACTTTGTCAGGATAGTTATCATGTTCAATCAAACATTTACTTGGAGCGCCACCCTCATGTGTGACAGACACTGACAGACAAGAAGGACTCTCACAGTAAAAAGCGGTGTCCATCTGTTCAGCCATCCTCTCTCCACTTCCTTCAAAAACCTACCTAGAGCGAAAACTTCTTCATCTTAAATGAGTCTCGCGGTTAATACTGAATAAAGCATTTAAGTTATGATGTTTATACAGTATTTATCACGTATATACAATATAATTATCACGCTTATACAATAAAATTAGCAAAAATGTATTTTCTCAAGGGACAGCAATGCGTTATACGCTTTTGTAATAATCACCTCCCACCGTGAAATATCTTTGCAGCTTAAAACTAACTTTACTGCTGTTCCTAACACGGACCTTTGTTTCGCGGCTCTCATTGGTTTATTTAGGTTTCGATAACAGAAAAAAAAAAAAAAAAAAAAACTCGTGATATACGGAGACAAGCAGAAACGAAATTGAAAGTTTTAAACATCAGACTTAACGAGAGCGTGGTTCCCACGTAGCTGCCATAAATAAAGAAAGAAAAGAAGAAATATGAACTCAAAACCTGAAAAGTGTTATAATCCCAGGGATCACACAATTCCATTTACGGACAAAGAGGACGAATTCGACTGTAAGTGTTTTTGTAACAAGATCGTTTATTTAAGCTTAAGCTATCTGTTTCCTACTTCGTGCAAGAAGTTTTCATCGTTTTATTTGTTTTTGTTACAGTCGAGTGTGAGGAATTTCAATCTCGAAGAGCCCGGATGTCCTGCGGTCATGTTGTTACTCCAATGTCTCTTACCAAGTATTGCAAATATTTATTGAGAAAGGTAAGTTATTCACTAAAAATTGTAACGTAGATTATTTTACTCGATGATTGAGTCCAGCATGTGCAAGGGGGTTTGGAACATACGAATATCTCACTATATATGTAATGGCTGTGAAAACTATGGGAATTTGATCACCTAGGAGGAGGAAAATATTAGAAACAGAAAAAAAAGCCACCAGATATTCACCCTACAAATTAGTGGGAGTAATTTATTCTTCCTCAATACATGTGTTCATACTTATTTGGTTAACATATTTTAATGGGTATAACTGATTGCAAGATATGAGGCATATCTTTGCCTGTCTGATAATTGTTTGTGTCACTATATTATGAAAGGGAGAAAGCACATTTGTTTGTGGCCAGTTTGGCTGTAATGTGGAGTGGCCTTATGTGGAGGTCCGTAAAATGGCCCTACTGACCCCTGAAGAAATGGAGTACTTCGAAACCACCATGGCTGTCAATGCTTTCAAGACACACTTTGACTCCAAAACTGTAAGGATCCTATTATGTATGTCATAATTTCATAACATATTTTAAAATGTTTTTTCTTTAAAATCCTATTTAACATGCCATAAAAAGTTAAAACAAATGTATATTTATCTTTCACTCTCAATCTACTCAGTGTCCTGGCTGCAAATATTCTGTGACAAGGAAGGTCGAGTCTAACCTGAGTGTCCGATGCCAAATGTGCACAGCAACCAAAGGACGCACCTATGAGTTCTGCTGGCAGTGTCTGAGAGAGTGGAAAGGTCCACAGCCTCGGACAGATCGCTGCGACAATGAAGGCTGCTGCAACGATGCCCTAAAAACACTGAGAGACTGTCCATATGTCAACTTTGAAAAAGTTAAAGGAGTCACTGAGTGTCCCTCTATCAGGGCCTGTCCCACCTGTGGTATACTGGTGGAGCACACTGGGAAACAGTGTAAAAACATCACCTGTCGCCAGTGTAAGGTGGAATTCTGTTTTGTGTGTCTTAAAATCACAACTGAATGTAGAAAAGCACCAAAACCAGATTATTATGGGCCTTGCTCTACTGGTATTGCCCCCAGACAGACCTCTATTCCTGTGTGGCAGCGAAACTAATATGAATAAGATAAGGCAGATATCCTGTTTGTTGTATTTGTTAATTACAAATGTCAAAGGTTTAATTAGTTGGAAGTCAAAAAATAAACAATAGCAGCCACTGTTAATAGTGTATAATAATGTCTGAAGAAAGACAGTTAATATACCTTTGAGAACTACTGTTATTCTGTTTAAAATTATGCTACCTCTGCATTTTTAGCTCAAGTAATCCTGTAAGGTAACTCAGGTAATTATTTTCCTAAAATTTATAACAATATAGTCATTTTGTTGCTAATATGTGTGAGAGGTTGTTTAGCATTTTTCCAAATATTTTCATCAAATAATAAGCCTGCAGTTCTGTTTAAAAATGATCTAATCAATAAAAACATTTTACCAGTCTTTTGTGTTATTTTTACAAAAACAGAAAATTTAGACTAAAAAGGGATATTAAAAGTATAGGGAATGTTTGTACACCACCAAGCTTTCCACCAGCTTCTTGTTCATCTACAAAATCATGTTATGGATTTTGTAGACCATAACATATTATCTAAAACTTACAAGATGTATTTGTATTGATCATGAAGAATATTTAGAATCTTGAAAAAACTGAGTTTGCATCAGCTGTGACAAAAAACAACAACAAATTCTTTAAAGACATCTCTGATTAATATAAAGAATTGACCTTTTAAAACATATACAGTTACTGACATTCCTCTGTAGCCTCTTTAAAGACTTAATGTGTTTATTTTCTTTGTTTTTTAAACCGTTGGAATGAAAAAATATAGAGAAGGTGTGCAGAATAATTATTTCACCAACCAATTAATCAATCGTCACAGATTCTCCTGATCCCATCTTGTTAAGTCTATATAGCATATCAATTTCTCATCAGGCCAATCTGGGGCTCTCAGGGGCTGTACATTCTGTTGGGGACACAGGATAATCTAAACATCTGTGTCCCTGCAACTTACTGAAGTGCATGTTCTGCCAGAGAGTCCATGGTAAATAAACTCAGGAATTACAGCATATTTTTAATAATGTTGTTAAGAGATCACAGCTCACTGATAGTGCTGTCCCCTTGAAAATTCCCCCATAATTTGCATAATAAGGCAATACAGAGAGGAAAGGCAGGAACAAAAATACCATTGGAGGAACAAACGGATTCAAAATATATGAAAAGGAAATACTAATACTAACACTAGCCAGATACTAATTAAAACACTAAATCTGTACTGAGAAGTTGGCCCTTCCTATCAATTTCGTTCTTGCACCTGGTTAACCAGAAATCACGTGACGTTAAACTATATTCTCCGTCCATTCAGCTCGTCTTTTTCATCCACCCTACCGTTGCTTGTCTTTACTTAAAACCATTTAAAGTAAGAAATGTGTCCTTGCCTGTGAGCTTGAGATGATGAATGAAAATATTATGGCTAATAATTATTTAAGCTGTTAAATATACGCTCCAATCTTATGTGATTTATTTGATTTCACTGAAGACTCCTAGATGACTTGCACAGACACATCATTTTCTCTTTACCCCATAAAACTCAAAATCTATTTCTGCTTTAATTCTGTACTTACTTATTCTGTACTTATTTATGTGATTTGTGTTTCAAAACATTTTTTTCCGGAATCCAAATTGGCGTGAACTTTTAGTTTTATTTTATTAGGTTTCGTTGTTCCGTCAAGAATATTTGTGCGCAGCCTCTGATCATGAAGTCCCCAATTTCCGTCATACATTGAACGCCGCATGGTCAATATAACTGAAAGGAAAAGCGCACGGCTCTGGTATTCTCTCTGAAAGCTGATTCATGTCTGGATCTCTATGAGTTAAAACAGAGTATTTGCTTTTTTCTCTCGTTTGTTCCATTCAGCTCGCTGATATCTGCATTTATTTAGTAAAAAGAGAACTGGAAAAGGGAGCATTATGAGTAGGTTTTCAGACAGCGTGTATAATAAGAACCATCAAGGTAAGTTTCGCATAATTAGTGTATTTATCTCGGACATACTTTGGTAACGTTGTTCTTAGAAATCCCTGTTGAAAAACTACACCAATTGATGCTTGTTTCAAATCTAAATCAAAATACCGAATTTAAAGCTCAAATAATCTTCCATTGTCAACTTTACGAAAAAAAAAAGAGGTTTGATTAAGTCTTGACTTGTGCTTTAATATTAAAGGAAGACTAAAACAATAAAAACTAAATAAAGAGAAATACAAAAAAGTGCCTTTATTTTAACCTTGTGGACAGGCACTTATCA